AAAAGAAAAAAAGAAGTTGGAAATCTCAGGGGGTCCTCGCTTGCTCAGTTGGAAGAGCGTGTGACTCTTGATCTTGGGGTTGTGAGTTTGAGCCCCGTGTTAGGGATAGAGATGACTAAAAATTAAAGAAAAAATTTTAATGCAAAAAAGAGTTGGAAATCTCTTTTTGTCAAAGTTACCCTTGAGAAGATCCCATCTGAACATCTATAAATTCTCAAATGAGCCCAACCTGGTCTTCTGAAGCTGCCGGCTTTCCGATCCAAGGGCCACATTGTATCCAAAACAAACCAGCAAGCAGACCAAGACAGCCTGGAACACTGAAGTCGCATTCCGTCCTGAGACTCCCCCACAAGGGAGGGTCACAGGAACTGAGCCTGTCGAAGGGAACGACATCCGTCCTGTGCCTCACACTTGCTCTGGGCCACACGGTCACGGAGTGGAATGGCAGGTGGCAAGAGTCACACTTTTTTTTTTTTTTAACCTTACCTCCCCCTCCCCCCCACCGCCCACAGACATGGTAGATTTTGCGGGAGTTACACGTGAGTGTGAAATGCCTCTCCGGGATGGAGTGTGGCTCCTTCTTCCTCAGCCACGAGCATCCTTGCGGCTGGGATGGCCTGCCTAGGACTGTTCCTGGCAACCAGTCCTCGGGGCCCGAGGAGGTCTGAGACTATGCTTTGGTCCTGCCCTTGACGTGTCCTCTCGGGCAAGGTTCCTTCTCTGGCCAGATGTGTCTTCTAGGACAAGGCTTTTCAAAAGGTGGCCACGCCTTGTGAGGTCACGTGCCCTGGTACAGGGCCGCTGTGTGGCTAACTTTTGCCATGTTCCCTCTCTGTTTTGCTCTGTTTTTCTGATACAAGGGTAATGGCACAAGGAGTGGTATAAACAGTAACCCACACGGACAAGTGGGAACGGCCACGGGGCTCTGCGGCCAATCCTGTGAGATGTCCAGGCCAGATTTTTTATAATCTAGAACGACCTCACTGGGATCTTGGGAGGGCAGGCGGGTTAAATGAGACTGCATTCATTTGAGAAGTTGGGGAGGCTAGATTCTGCTTGGAAACGCGTTGTCAGTCACGCCAACGGACACGAACGCGACGCTAGCAAAGAAGGGAAAACGACGAAGGTCTTCGATCGGGTTTCAAGTTTCTCCCCGGGGTCTTTCCATTTGTAGTTCTGGGATTTTTACCATCACGTTGGAAAAGGCTGGAAAGGACTGTTCGTGAGACCGGGCTTAGCACTGAAACCCAGCTGGGTGCTGAGGCGTCTAGCCCCCAGAGCTGAAGGAGGAATTCCAAACTGAAGGGAGAGTTCGTGGCAGCTGGAGGTTTCCACCAATGAATCAAAAATGACTTACCCCGCAGTAATTACCCGGGAGGCTTAAGGTGTCATGAGCAAATAAGTTTGTGGCTTGGCCTTCAGGGAGCTGAGTCAAGGGGGACAGAGTGACAGCAGAAGCATTGGAAGCAGAGAAGGGGGCCGCCTGTGTGAGGCCTGATCCCAGTCCTCCACGGCTGCGGAGAACCACCGGCCACCGACCGTGGGACAGCAGATGCCAGTGTCAGGCACCGTGGAGCCTCTTGCCTCATACCTGACTCGACACACACATGGGCTGTGTCAATGCACAGGACATGAATGTTGGGGGCTGTGCTTCCTTCAGAGGGGTCCAGGCTCACAGAATGGGAACCCTCCCGGTGGGCCCCAAATTCTGGGAGGGATCAGTTTGCAAGTGCTGAGATGCTGGCCATCGAATGCCTGTGTGTGTGCTCATATGTGTGTGCGTGCACACATGTGCATGTGTGTAGTGTGCAGACTGAGTCACTGAAGGCGGCTGCCGGTAATCAGCTGTTGGACCTGGTACCTTCTCCCATTGCCTGACAGCCCACGGAGGAAAATGAGTCGTGGCTGCAGTTCTGGCTCCGTGCATGATAAGCCCTTATCAGAGCCTGCTATTCTCAGAAGATGGGAGACAAAGGCCAGGGACGGTGGAACTTCCTCTGGAGAAAGGAGAAGTGGAGATTCTTGGGTGAGGGTGGGCGGCCTCCCTTCTCCTCTCTGGTGGGTGGCGCTGGCCACCTAAGACACCAGGGAACGGTGGCCTCCCACGATGCCTGAAGAGCCATGGGCATGCATAGTGCTCCAGGGTCTGGACGTACCAGGCGTCCCAAGTCTGTTCAGGTTCATATGAACTCTGCCTCCTTGACCCTGGTGCCATCCACAACTGCAATTTCCAGGCCCAGTCCAGGCTCACCTGCACAGCTCTGCAGAGCCCTGTGTTGGCCCTGAACGGTCACTCGCCCAAGTGACCACAGTCCCAGCAAGAAGGGCTGCAAATGTGAGAAGGGAGAAAAGCCATCGGGACCCCAGTCCTTTCCAGAAACTTCCAGTAACGCCAGCAAGAGCAGCTCAGTGGGGACCACGGCCCAACAAGGGATCAGACAAGAAGGTGCTAGTTGGAATGGAGGCTTAGGCATTTTGACAAAAGAGGAATAGTCGATGTCACGGGGAAAAATTCACAATCAGACCGAAACAAAATATATTTATTAGAAATATGACACAGTCATACATCATAGGCGTCCATGTTAATAGTTAAATACATCCGTGTTGGCATGTCACGTCCTGACGATGCTGGGCGTGCTCTTTGCAGAAACGAGGCCACATTCAACCAACATAGTTAAAATTAGGGAGCTACAGAGGATGTACCAGACTTAGCCAAAGTCTAACCTGGGTCAAGAAAAGTGAAACCCCCAGGGAGCTTGGGCAAAGGGGTTATTAAAAATACTTTTTAAAAAGGCAGCTAGGTTCTATGTCCCTCACTGCACATCCTTGGGGGCTCATCTCAAAATGGCAGGAGAGCTTGGGAGCCGGAGGAGCTCCAGCAGGATCTGACAAATGGGTGCCGAGAAGGGCCCGGGTCCTCTCCCTCCGCAGTCCAGTGAGACGCCTGCCTTCCCCCGCATGGGGAAGTGGGAGGGGGAGCTTCAGAGAAGCTGGGGTCCTCTGAGGGAAAAGAACCCTGCAGCTATCTGTCACCGCCAGATGGCTAATCGCTTTGGGATGCTTCCGATGGTCTCCACAAAAGCTACAGACAACAGCTGAATGAAGAACAAAAACCAAAGACTAACCTCATTTCTGAAGTGAGAAGGGAATAGGACGAGAGAAGTGGGCATTTGCCAGGTTCCTCAGAACGCGAGCCCGAGGGAGCAGAGCTCCCGTCCTTGGAAGATCTCACAGTGACATGAAAAACATGGATGTCTCTCTAGGTCTTTAAAAGAACTCCACGCTTCTGGGTCTTGCGTTTTGCATCTGTCTTTTCTAGAAGAACAATATGTATATATATATACTTAAAAGGGAATCGCAGAACCACCACGTGACTTTGAGTGACTCCCGGCTGAAGGAAGACGAGAACATAAGTGGCTACAACAGGCCTCAGGACAGAAAACCGGAAACGGTACAATGGGCTGACATGACTCTGTTTTCTCAGTTGAGCCAATTTCCACATTCACCTTGTGCTCCCAGTGCTCCAGCTAAAAATAGATCTAAAAACCCCATCCAGTGGCCCAGCCCCCCCATCCCCCAAATGCCGGAAGGCCTGGTCCCCCAGCCCAGCCATCTTCTGTCCCTTTCCCGGGACTCTGCAGGGCCAGATCGGCCCCCAACACCACCTGTGTTTCTGTGAGCAGGACACACGTTTCCCCTTCCAGAAGCATGCCCCTGGCAAAGAAAATGGTAGTCAAGGAGATTCTTTGAGTTATAAAAATAAATCGCACACAGCCTTTATTTTATAGGACATTTCTTTCGTTCTTTTTCCCCTAAAGGGAGCAGGCTCCAGCACAGGGCGAGGGGAAAGGGGACCACCACCACTGCATAGCCAGTGCTTGGCCCAGAGCGGGATCATCTGACTCGTTCACAGCAATCACAAAGCCAGGGCGCTAAGAGCTCTGAACACCCCTCCAGGTATCCCAAGCACTTCCACTGCGGCCTCTCCTCTCCCACATCAGCCCTGCCATAATCCCAGATCAAACACAACCACTCCCCGGGATGGTACCTCCCGCTGGAGAGCAGGGCAGAAGCTGCACGGTGATGAAAACGAATAGCGAGGTCAACAAGAGCCAGATGCCTGAAGCAACACAAGCAGCACCTTCCATTTGGGTGTGTACATCAGGAAGGAGTAAACTAAATTTGTTCTTCCGACTCCCCTGTGGAAACAAAGGAGCCACTGCCGGGGGCGGGGTGGGGGTGGATGGTGGTGTCACCTTTACCAAACTGCCCAACAGCAACTGGTGTTCACCGCCCGGCGCTGGGGAGCGAGATCAAAGACGGTCTCTCCTCTCCTGGGGCGGCCCAGGGGGGTGCGTTGTGAACCAGCTACCCGGGGAGGTTCTGACCTCGGGCCACCGAGAAGCAGGTCCGTAACCCTCCCCGAGGAGGGCCGGACCCTGCGCAGCGCGGGTCGTGGTCCGGAGGGAGGGGCCGAGCCACGCCTCTTCCCCGCCTGACGTCAGCGAGGCCCTTTGTGGGAGGGGCGCCCGCATCTGCAGGTGGTGGGCGCGGGTGAGTCACCTGACTGCCGCGGGGGAGCCGCATCCTCACCCGCTAGGCCATGCGCATCGCGTGCCCAACGAGAACACCTGCCCAGGGCACTCCCCTCGCCCCGCCCCCCACAGTTAGCTCTGTTGCCTCTAAGGGCGACAGTAGGCGCTCAGACCTGGAGCGGTCTCTGCCCACCCCTCAGGGCTTGCTTGGGTCCTGCCTCCCGAAGGGCCCGATGAGGCAGTAAAACCAGGCGCGGAGCTGAAATAGCATTTACCTTTGCCGACTGCCCGGTATTCCCAGACATACACAGCTCTTGGGGCTGTGCGTGTAAACACACGAAGACCTGGGTGGGCACCAGGGACGAACGTGTGTGAGAGAACGGGAATGGGGATGAAGGTGGGGGGCGACTACGACGACACAAAAAGGGAGGGGGTGACAGTGGCTGACGTCTCTCTTTCAGCTGGGGGGGGTTTCTGAGTGTGAGTGCGTGCAAGCACAGAGACACACACTTGTCTGCGAGCCACCCCAAGGGAACACCGCAGCCAGCCACCCAGGGGCTGCCTGGGATTCTCACACCTCTGCTCCTCCATCCACAGATTCCCATAGGTGACAGCAAGACCTAAGAAGTGTGATCAAGTTCTAGGTGTCACAACTGTTGTCTAGCGCGCAAGCACATTCCCCAAGAAAGGCAGGGCTCCTGCGTTGCCAGCGGGCGCGAGAGCAAGGTTGGTCTTTTCGCATTTTGTTGGGTGTTTTCTTACTTGACGGGGTGGGTGGTGGCGAGGGTAGAGTTTTTCTAAAGGCAGGAGCCTGGGTTTTCAGAAAAAAGATGACTGCTTTGGAAGTGCTGTTGGTGGTGGACCTCGGCCGCTCACGGGTGAAGTCGCTCCGTGTGACCAGAGATGGCCCACCCAGTTCTGGTGGACAGAGCCCAGGCTGGGAGGAGGAAGGCCGAGGGGGAGCAGAACTTCCCTGGCCCATGCTCCAAATGCATCTGGACTTAAAGCGGGGGCGTGGTGGGATCCAGTTCAGTTTCTGGTTTGTGCGCTGGGCCCCCCGATGGAGTGTGGCAGGCGGTGGATGGAGGGGGACCGGTGGAAAGTGACCAGGTGCTTGGAGGACCAGCTGCAGGCCGGGGGGCCGGCTGCTCTTCGGCCCTCGGGCTCTACGTCTCGAAGTACTTGTAGATCTGGGCCACATACTGCATCACGCTCTGCCAGTCAGGCCGGTCTGTGTACAGCATCTCACTGAGCTCCTGCAGGAGAAAAGATGAGGTCATGCTGGGGACACCACAGACCCCCACCCCCTTCCCACAAAGATGCTCTGATCTAGGTTAGGGTGGGGGCTGCCCAGAAACGCTCCTCCACCTGCTCAGACAGAAGGTGTAGGCAACCTTGTTAAATGGGATTAGTTAAAAGAAAAAGTGTTTTATTCCTATTTAATCAGGAGATACTGTCCCTTAAAAAACATTTTTTTTTTAAAGATTTTATTTGAGAGAGAGAGCGATAACGAGAAAGAGCATGGTAGGGAGGGTCAGTGGGAGAGGGAGAAGCAGGCTCCCTGCTGAGCGGGGAGTCCACTGCAGGACTTGATCCCAGGACTCTGGGATCATCACCTAATCTGAAGGCAGATGCTTAACTGACTGAGCCACCCACAGCCCCGAGATACTGTCCCATTTAAAAAACATTAGACATGACTTCCTGCCCCTTTTATCTTAATAACACAGCAGCATTAAAAAAAGTTCTGTAAAGAGTAAGTCATCCATAACTCCATTATCATAGAACGAGTGCCGCTTTTCTAAGTTATACTGTAATGTACACCTATGTTTTCCTGCTTCCATCACGTGGATGTACTATTGTGTGCTCTGTGCTTTTATTATTTTTTTGGGGGTGGTGGTGGTGGGAGGGGTAGAGGGAGAGGGAGAATCTCAAGCAGGTTTCATGCCCACCATGGAGCCCAATGCAGGGCTGGATCTCAGCATCCTGAGATCATGACCTGAGCTGAAAGCAAGAGTTGGACGCTCAACCAACGGAGCCTCCCCCTGCCCCCGGTGTCCCTCTGTGCTTTTCTACCTAACGTTTTCCATACACAATTACACAGGCTGCTGTGCTGCATTGCTGGTGGTCCTAGTAGTAGAGGGGCACAGTCCAGGGACAGCTGTCCCACAACCAACAGGACATCTAACGTGACGTGTCATCTGTGTTCACTTCCTCATGTTACAGACTTTGCGTTACGCATCTTTGTGGGGCGTTGTTGAACTCATGGCTTGAGATGAATGCCCACAAATGGGATCAACACAAGAGCCTTGAACCAACTGAACCTGCAAGCGCTGTCTTCTAAGAATTAAGTGTTAGACCATTTCACATTTGTTGTTGTCGTTGTTCTTTGTTCTTTCTCCCTCAGTTTCGCGGGTGATCAGCAAGCAGACAGTCAAATGTTCCTGAAATGTCTGCCACTCTGTGTATGAAATAATTCATTTTGGAGTTGAATTTGGATTCTTTTGTGGTCACGAGAGAATAGTAGGAAAGGACTCTGATGTAAATCCAGGAGCAGGGATGTGGTGGGAAAGCAAGCCTGAACTTATTTAGCACATCTGCTCTTGGGTGGTGACAGAAATGAGACCTGTCACTGGCCATTTATTTTGTTTCCATGACACCTAAATATATTTTATGAGTTTTGCTTCTTGGTTGTGCTAAAACATGACCAGCCTGCTACTGACAAGGATGTGTCTTCCACCTCAGAGAGGACACAGAAGTCTGGTCAACATTCACAGCTCTGCTCAGACTATCTCCTCATATGCCCGAACCTGACAATAACAACATTAAAGCTATTTTGGTACATTATCAACATCACATTCAAACATGTTTGAAGATATACTGTAGCACATTTCAAGAGAAGGGAGAGGCTGCTGCCTGATCCAAAATTTGAGGATGCATGACATTTATTTGAATCAGGAGCTGAAAACCTTTCAAGATAAAAAGCACCAGGCCCTGATGGTTTCATTGGCAAATTCTGCCAAATGCTCAAGGAAGAAATAATACCAGTTCTACACATTCTTTTCCAGGAAACAGAAGAGGAGGCACAGTTCCTCACTCATTCTGTGAAGCCAGCATTACCCTAATACCAAACCAGATAGAAATGGGACACGAGAAAGCTACCCACACAGACACAGTATATACTAGCAAACTGAATCATGATCAAGTGGGGCTCACATCAGTAATGCCAGACAGGTTTAATATCCATCAATGTTATTCATATGATCAGACCTAATAAGAAAAATCATACGATTGTATCAACAGATGCAGTAAAAGCATTTACACACATACCATGAAGGTATTTGTGGGTTTGGTTCCAGACCATCATAATACAGAAAACACAGCATAAACAAGTCAAATGAATTTTTGAGTTTCCAGCACACAGAAGTTATGTTTACATTATACTGTAGCTTAATATGTGTGCAACAGCATCTAAAAAAAACACAACAATGTATATCGGTCTCTCACACAATGGAAGTTTGAACCCTGTGGATGTACTTATGTGTGGATTTTTTTTTTTTTATAACTACACTATGGTACTGTCAGTGGATTTTCTCTTATGATTTTCTCAAAAACACATTTTTCCTCTACCTCACTTTAAGAATATAGTATGTAAAATATAAAACATATAAAATATCTGTTAATTGATTATTTATATTATTAGTATAGCTTCTGCTCAACAGGAGGATATTAGCAAAGTTTCTGGGGAGCCGAAAGTTATACAGAGATTTTCGACAGCATGGGGGTGTTGATGCTCCCAATTTCTGTGCTGTTCAAGGGTCAACTGCACATTCTCTAATTAAAAAATATTTTATTGCTAAAAAAATGCTAACCATCATCTAAGCTTTCAGCAAGGTGTAATCACTGATGACTGATTACCATCACAAACATAATGGTAAATATAATTTTAAACAATAACTTCGAGAATTACTAAAATGTGATATGGAGACACAAAGGAGCACATACTGTTGGCAAAATGGAGGTGACAGACTTGGTTGATGCAAGATTGCCACAAACTTTCAGTTTGTAAAAAAAAAAACAACAAAAAAATGCTTGTACCCATGAAGCTCAATATAGTGAAATATAAATGAGGTATGGCTGTTTACAAAATTCAGCCACTGTTTATGATAAAAACTCCTCAAAACCTAGAAAAATAGAGGGGTATTTCTTTTACCTAATAAAAGATACCCACAAAACCCAAAAGTTGACCTCATACTTAACAGAGAGAGGCTGAACACTTTCCCACTAAGATCAGGAGAAAAGAACAAGGCAAGGATGTCTTCTCTCACCTTTCCTACTCAACACCATACCAGAAGTTCTAGCTAAGGGCACCTGGGTGGCTCAGTGGGTTAAGCCACTGCCTTTGGCTCAGGTCATGATCTCAGGGTCCCGGGATCGAGTCCCGCATCAGGCTCTCTGCTCAGCAGGGAGCCTGCTTCCCTCTCGCTCTCTCTCTGCCTGCCTCTCTGTCTACTGTGATCTCTCTCTGTCAAATAAATAAATAAAATCTTAAAAAAAAAGAAGTTTTAGCTAATGCAATAAGGCAGGAAAAAGAAAGAAAAGCAGGTGCCTGGGTGGCTCAGTTGGTTGAACGACTGCCTTCAGCTCAGGGCATGATCCTGGAGTCCCCAGATGGAGTCCCGCATCGGGCTCTCTGCTCAGAGGGGGTCTGCTTCTCCCTCTGACCTCCCTTCTCATGCTCTCTCTCTCAAATAAATAAAATCTTAAGAAAAAAAAAATAAACAAAATGCATACAGATTGGAAAAGCAGGACTAAACCTGTCTTTGTTTGCAGATGACATGACTGTCTATGTAAAACACTCCAGAGTTTACCAAAAAACCCACTGGAACTAATATGCAAGTTTAGCAAGATCTCAGTCAATACTTTCCTATTATAATACCATTAATGGACAATTGAAATGTGAAACCAAGCCAAACCATATAAGTGGCATTAAATTTTAAAAAAGGATATATATGCATATATATATATATATATATATATATAAATGATATATATAAATAAGAAAACTTGTTTATAAAACATTATATGCAGAAAACCATAAAGCACTGATGGAAAAAAATCAAGAAGCTCTAAATAAATGGAGATTATTGTACGTTCATGGATCGGAAGACAGAGTATCGACAAAATGTCAATTCTTCCCAATCTGGTCTATAGATACAAAACAATCCCAATCAAAATCCCAGCAAGCTGGGTTTTATGGGGGAGAAGGAGGTAGGTATTGACAAACTGATTCTAAAATTTATAAAGCAAAGATACAACCAAAGAAATTCTAAAAAGAATAAAGTTGGAAGACTTGATTTCACTATCTATCAAGTTGTATGAATCAGGGCAGTGTGGTATTAACCAAGTGGCAGACACTTGGATCATATTATATCTGTTTTATCACAGTAAGAATCATTGAAAAAAAAAAAAGATAAGGCTTCTTGCCCTTGGGAGCTCATGGTCTTGGGGGATGGAGATAAATCCTACAATCAGATAAATCACAGTATAATACTGCATGAGCTATACAGTACTATTGTGCGTTAAGAGCCCAAAAGGAGGGCATGGCTGTCCTGGATACAGGATCATGGAGGAGGTAAGACGGAGCTCTGGAGAGGGCCTGCCTGCTTGACTCTTGCCTTTGCGAGTCTCTAATGTGTGACCTTTTATGGAGCCGCACCTGCCTTAGTTTCCCACCTATAAGGAGCATCCGTCAGGTGCAGTGAGTCAACACATGGAAAATGCCCGAGGGTGCTTGGGTGGCTCAGTTGGTTAGGTGTCTGACTCCTAATTTCAGCTCAGGCCATGATCTCAGCATTGTGAGACCGAGCCCTGCGTCGGGCCCTGCACTCAGCGGGGAGTCTGCTTCTCTCTCTCTCTCTCTCTCTCCCTCTCTCTTTTCTCCTCCTCCTGCTCACGTGTTCTCTCTCTAAATCAATCAACAAGTAAAATCTTACAACAAAAGAACATGCCTGGTGCATAGTAAACATGAACAAATATTTTTTATACTATTAAATCAACTCTAAGTACCCTTCGTAAAATCTGTACTGCAGGGCAGGCTGAGTTATGCCTAAGGAATCATTCTGATATCCTCCTAAAATCCCGAGTGGTAAAGACCTCCCTGTCCTGATCTCTGTGTGTACTGACTGTCCTAGTGGCTTTCTCAATCGGCAACACCCTCCCAGACTATGGACTCAGCATGAGGGCCTTCCCTTCTCCAGGATACAGACACATCAACCCTTAAGGGACACACATGCTGGCTGTCCTTCCAGGAATGGCCACGAGGCCACCTGTCCTCTCACCTCTTCTGTGAGGAGTTGCTCACCCTTGTGATATGGTCGGCTAAACCTCGCTGTCACACTGTGGCTAAGAAGGAACGTGTTCTAAAATTGGGAGAACGTGGTCGACCTTTCATTAAAAAAAAAAAATCTCATCTTTGCTAATATGCTATCCCCAGAAACCTGTATTTACTTGGATCTACACCTGTGAGTGATTTCCACCCCCCTCACTGATCTTACAATAGACCTTCACCAAAGACCTGGGGTTATGACTGCTGCCAATCCTGACTGTGTATATTTTGGAAGTATCACGTGTAATTAAGAACTGTTTTTCAATCCACGTCAAGGTACTGCAAAGCAAATTTCATAATGCAGGAAGCTTCTGTTTTGTTGATGGTATGAACTGGTTAAAATGCTCACAAACAACCCTAAATGCTTCTGAGATTAATTATTATGCTTGTCAGTATCTCCTCACAGACATCTGTAAAAATGAAACTGCCTGTTCCAACAATTAGTTCAACAAGATGATCTCATTCCTAGCCTGCACTTACTCCTGTCTTATGTCAGATACAAAGTAGGGAAAAGATGTCAACTTAAAAAAGAAGCAAATGTCAGCTGTAACACTACAAAGAAAACCATATTCTGTGTGTACTATCATCTAACAAATTCTCGTTTTCTTCTTGGATTCCTTACGTTAATTATCTGTTGCTCGGATGCCTGGGTGGCTCAGTCGGTTAAGCGTCTGCCTTTGGCTTGGGTCATGATCCCAAGGTCCTGGGATCAAGTCCCGCATCCGGCTCCCTGCTCAGCAGGGGAGCCTGCTTCTCCCTCTGCCTCTGCCTGCCGCTTTCTCCCTGTTTGGGCGTGCTCTCTCTCTGGCATATAAATAAATTAAATCTTAAAAAAAAAAATAATCAGCTGTTGTTCCTTGTTAGCTGTTCAGCGTTTCAGAAGGGAAGATAAATCGGGTCCCTTTTGCTCCATCTTGGCCAGACATGTATGTCTCCTCTAGCCTCTTATTTACATGATAGGGACATCTGGTTCTTAAAAAAGTTTCACAGCTCTTAGCCTTACTGGGATTTTTTCGTCTACATGACTACATTTTTATTTATTTATTTATTTATTTATTTATTTTTAAAGATGTTATTTATTTATTTGACAGAGAGATCACAAGTAGGAAGAGAGGCAGGGAGAGAGAGAGAGGGGGGAAGCAGGCTCCCCACCGAGCAGAGAGCCTGATGCAGGGCTCAATCCCAGGACCCCAGGATCATGACCTGAACTGAAGGCAGAGGCCCAACCCACTGAGCCACCCAGGCGCCCCTGAATTCAATTTCTTTAATGGGTATGGTTCTTTTTTGTTTTGAGTGAGTTTTGGAGAAATATTTACATTTAATATTTGAAGAAAGAATATACTTGCATTTCTTTAGAAAACTGTCCATTCTGGTTTAAACATACTGGTGTAACGCTGTTCACAGTACTGATGTTTCTATGATGGCTGTACTTTTGCTTTTTCATTCCTCAGATGCCCTACGTCCACTGAGGATGACAGACCCGAGTCTCAATCTGACTTCGCTTGGATTTTCCCCATCACTGATGAGACTATACATCTTCTGAAATCTTTATGAACCACTCATGGTTTGTGTATTCTAGCCTTTGATAATTTTCTACTAAGTTGTCTTTTTATTACTGGTTAGTAGAAATTATTTATAGATTTTCTGTCTTCACTTTCTTTCTTTGTAGTTCTGTTATGACGTTTGAGGTTCATTAAGAATCTATGGTCTTTTATCATTCTGGAAAAATTTCAGGCACCATTTCTTCAAATATTCTCTCTCCCATTCTTTCTTCCCTCTTCTGGAATTCCCACTGGCCATGGGGCTTAGAAATTGTCTTGATTTTATCTTCCATGCTCTTAAGCTTTGCAGCAGACTCTATCAGTTAATCAAATAGTCATGCCCAACCTCTCTATCCCTTGTAGGCATCCCACTAAAGAGAAAGGAGAATATAAATAGCTTACTTTCTCAAATTCCCTTGCAGCTGGGGTGGCCATGTAACAGAGTACTGCCAGTTACCTGAGGGACTCTGGGAAGGCTTCTGATTTCCTTATCAAAGGGGAAAGTTATTCCCTCTCCTTCCTGCCCTGCAGATGGGAGTGATGTCTGGAGCTTGGCAGCCATGTTCAACCACAGAGGACATGGGGACAAAGAGCCAACAGATTAAAGATGGTGGAATGTTAACAAGACACACTCTGGGGTCTTTGATTACACTACTGAGCAGTGAACCAATCCTGAAACTACTTCTGGACTTTTCATTAAAAAATAAAATGAACAGCTTTATGGTTTAAGCAACTGTTAGTTGGATTTTCCATTTCTTGAATTTGTCTTTTTAAAAAAGATTTTATTTATTTTTTGAGAGAGAGAGAGAGAGAACACACATGTGCATGAGTGTGAATGCAGGGATAAGGGCAGAAGGGATTTCATGACCCTGAGATCATGACCTGAGCAAAATCAAGAGCTGAACACTTAACAGACTGAGCCAACCAGACAACCCCACCCCTTGCCTCCATTTCTTGAATTTGAATACATACTAATACAATTCCTCTATTATATTTTTCACTTAAAAAAAGATTTTATTTATTTATTTGACAGAGAGAGACACAGTGAGAGAGAGGGAACAGAAGCGGAGGGAGTGAGAGAGGGAGAAGCAGGCCTCCTGCTGAGCAGAGAGCTCGATGTGGGGTTCGATCCTGGCACCCTGGGATCATGACCTGAGTCAAAGGCGGACACTTGATGATTAAGTCAGCCAGGTGCCCCTATTTTCCACTTTTTTAAATGTCTATTTCATGTTCTGGATAATCTCCTTAGCTCTATTTTCCAGCTCAGTAGTTCTCTCTTCTACTGTATCTAATCAGGTTTTCAATCCAACTGGGGCTTTTTTAATTTCTAATTTTTATTTCTAGATGTTTCATTTGATTCTTTTTACAAATCTTTTTTTTTTCTTAACATTACCACAGTCCGTCCTTATGATTTTTTCCCCTCTTTTACCTTAGTATATTTAAACATAGTTTTTTATAGTCTCTTTCTTATTATTTTATTATTCCACATTCTGGTAGATGATCTTCTTGTTTGGCCTAACAGCTGACTAGCACAACTAGATCATTTTCGTGAGTGTTTTGTAATTTTGGATTGTGAATGTATTTTCAGTGGCCATTGTACCACTAGCACAGAAGCTTTGTGCCTCAGCTAGTATAAGTTAGGGGCTTCTTGGAACACAGAAATAAATTTGAACTCCAAACCTCATGTGGCCCAGTTTTGTTTTCTTGCAGATTTTCCTTTTTCTGGACACACACACACATACATACACACAAAACTAAGGTGGAAACCAAGCTTCCTTATCACTTCCCTTGACTGGCAAGTAGAGGTTTTTTTTATTTCCCCCTTCACTAAGAAGAACATAATTTTGTGACCTTGGGTTTTGCGCAAGGGTCTCAGTACTAATGTTCTGTTTATGGGAACTCAGCGCCTTGTCTCTTGTTCCTGTGTGGACGTTAAATAAAAGCTATACCCATTAGGTAGCCTTTTATTATGAGCCCTCTACCAGCACTCCCGGACCCACTTCTGAGGCTTGCCACAGTCTTAGTTTATGCTTTGTGGCTCTGGTTTCCACTTCTCTTTGAATTTCTGACATCTGGCCACTTCCCATTCTTTTTTCAGACCGCAGCTATGGGTTGATATTTTTATAATTATTTTTTTTTAAAAAGATTTTATTTATTTATTTGACAGGCAGAGATCACAAGTAGGCAGAGAGAGAGGGGGAAGCAGACTCCCTGCTAAGCAGAGAGCCTGATGCAGGGCTCAATCCTAGGACCCTGGGATCATGACCTGAGCCGAAGGTGCCCCTTATAATTACATTTTATCTAGATTTCTAGGTGGCTCGAACAACAGGGCTTTAATAATTCATCCCATCGTGCTTCTAGAAATGAAATTTATCCACAATGAAATCTTTGAAAAACCCCTAAATCATGTGTGGTTAGAATAACTGAATTAAAAAAAATTTTTTTTTTTTTTTTTTTTAAAGTAGGCTCCTCCACACCCAGTGCAACCAAGGGCTTGAATTCACAGCGGTGAGACAGAGACCCGAGCTGAGATCAAGAGTCAGATGCTGAACGGACTGAGCCACCCAGGTGCCCCATGAATATTTTTATATTAGGGATCACGAGTAACAAATCTTTAGCAAAGGGATTTTAATGTTCTGTAAGAAACTGTTTAGTAGATGGCATAAAGTTCTTTCTCCTATAGGTAGAACAAAGTTTCACAAGGATATAAAATAGGATACTTACCAGGCTGGGTTTGATGCCTACACTTTCGGCTGCTTCAAATGCCAACAGGAGATTCTTTTTCTAGATTAAGAGAACAAAGACTGGAATTATCAACTAAAAATACACAGCTTTTGAGAAAATAAAAATAAATATAAAAACATATAGCTTTTGCCAGGAAAGAACACTACATGACACTCCCACATAGATGATCTACTGTTATAAAACACTTAGATTTTTTTTTTAAGATTTTATTTATTTATTTGACAGACAGAGATCACAAGGAGGCAGAGAGACAGGCAGAGAGAGAGGAGGAAGCAGGCTCCCCGCTGAGAAGAGAGCCCGATGCGGGGCTCGATCCCAGGACTCTGGGATCATGACCTGAGCCGAAGGCAGAGGCTTTAACCCACTGAGCCACCCAGGCACCCCAAAACACTTAGATTTTTAAGTCAAATATGCAAACAAGTGTTTCAGTCTAAGGAAGAAAATGATTGGCAGGTTATAATTAAAATGATATTACCAATTGATTCCTTTCTATCAAAGATAAATATTTGTGAGTATTTTTTACTCTGTCACAACTTATGACATACACATTCTGTTGTGGATCAAGACTTGTTTCATCACGGTGCTGTATACCATTTCCCCCTAGAATTCTAAAGGCACGTTCCACAGTTAGCCCTGATTCGTAGCTCCTTCCTGAGACTCCTTCTGGCTGTTCTGATGTTTCCTCACCTGGATGAACTTAAGAATCACTTAATTATGCCTCCTCCCCTCCATAATTCATTTGAGATTAAAATTTAATTAGATTGGTATATTAAGTTTAATCAAGACAGTCATGTTCCTCTAAGTAATCATGTTTTATGTCCCCCAGTAGAATTCTGTGATTTTATGCATTTGGATCTGATACATAATTTTATCTCTTTGGCCATTTTCCCATGGCCTTCACCCTCTGTCCTTGGGTGCACATCTGCTTCCTGAAGGTGGAGGGCTCTGCCTTCATACAGACACAAACTCTCTGCTCTAGGTACCATGTCACAGAGAAACAGAAAAGACAAGGCAGTGCACGTTTTCTCGCAGGCTGTCGTCTAGGCCTGGGAAAGCTGCTGATCTGTGGTCATCTCACCCAAGACACCAGCCCTCTTCCTCCAAATTAAGGGAAGTTTATGGGCATGAACTGGAAACCTGTGCGTGTTTCCATAACACTGCTCTCTGTTCTGCTGAGATGGGAGCTCCTAAGTTGGCTCCTGGCTGCCCTTTACTGAGCCCAAACTTGTGGCAGCTGTCTCCTCTTTTGTGTTTATTTAAAGTCCTTTTGGTTAGTGTTGAGGGGAAAGGGGGTTTGTAAGCCAGTTTTGTGGCTACCACTATTCCAGAAGTTGTGGCGTTTGATAGGCCATGCCAACTTGTTTTCTTTCTTTCCCTTTTTTCTTTTTTAAGATTGTATTTATTTATTTGACAGACAGAGATCACAAATAGGCAGAGAGGCAGGCAGAGAGAAGGGGAAGCAGGCTCTCCACTGAGCAAAGAGCCTGATATGGGGCTCAATCCCAGGATCCTGGGATCATGACCCACTTAAACACTGAGCCACCCAGGTGCCCCTTGTTCTCTTTCTTTTAAATATATTTTTAAAAATATTTATTTGACAGACAGAGATCACAAATAGGCAGAGAGGTAGGCAGAGGGCGGGGGGTGGTGGGAAGCAGGCTCCCTACTGAGCAGAGAGCCCGATGCGGGGCTTGATCCCAGGATCCTGAGATCATGACCTGAACCGAAGGCAGAGGCTTAAGCGATTGAGTTACCCAGGTGCCCGCCAGGGCACCTGGCGGGCTTAGTTCTTGGAGCACGCAGCTGTCAATCTCAGGGTCGTGAGTTCGAGCCCCGCACCATACATGGAGCCTACTTAAGAAAATAAATAGAACGCTGCACCAATTTTCAATTCCAGCCATAGTGTTTAAGTGTGCATTGACTCACACATTTACCTGCATAGACTATTATGAGCAAGCGCTGTTAACTAATTCTTCCATTGCAACGGTGTCAGGCCCCTGCAAGAAGGCCAGGAGCGGGGGGAGAAAGCTGCCACTTACGGGCAGCAGGAGGGAGTGTGCCCAGGACGGAACCTGCAGGCCAGAGCCCTTCCCGCCGCAGGAGAGCGGAAGGCCCCGGTAGAGCTCTCTGCCACTGGCCCCACTAGCAGGACACCTCACCTAAAAGTGACAGTGGAAAGCATCCCAAGTGCAGATTTCTCCTCTCATGTTAAAACTTTGTTTTAGGGGTGCCTGGGTGGGGCTCAGTCGTTAAGCGTCTGCCTTAGGGTTGGGTCATGGTCCCAAGGTCCTGGGATCGAGCCCCGCATCGGGTTCCCTGCTCAGCAGGAAGCCTGCTTCTCCCTCTCCCACTCCTCCTGCTTGTGTTTTCTCTCTCGCTGTGTCTCTCTCTGTCAAATAAATATATCAAATCTTAAAAAAAAAAACAAAAAACTTTTCAGACACCGACACGAAAACACTCCGTTCCAAGTCTTGAATCTGACCAGAAATGTGGAAATTTCATGGGCTGATGGATAAATCTGCTTTCTGTTGGGAAAAAAATGCCCAAGCCTCCCACTGACTGTAGCTCCCATCTCTTTCATGTCTTCGAAGACATACTTGTTAGTTTTATCAGAAACTCCCTACTTGACACTGACGTCCAACTGACTCACTTTCATTACTTCCACCGGGGGAGACGGAACAGCTCCTGCTTTCTGAACTTCCTGGGCTGTGTCATTAATCTCACAGACCCAAAGTCTTCCACAATTGGACAGGGGTGGTCCCTGATCACAGCATCCTCCATCAGGGGGAAGACATACAATCCTATGTGTAGGGGCCACGGGGCCCTGTACCACCAGGACAACAGGAAGTGAGTCCATGGCGGCATCTGACTGTTGCGTGTCTCCAAGTGGGCAGCAGGTGACTGGGCAGCTGGCCATGCGGTTGGGGATCACGGACACCCACGGCGAGACAACGCACTTTCACAAGGAGGCAATGCTCATGATTCAAAGCGGGAAAAGCCAACACTTTGAGGTTCATTATTTTCCAGCAGATCCAGAGTGATCTGAGGACGAAGAGCCAGGTGTGTTTTGCACGAGAGCGGACAAACACTGCACACCTTCAGGAAGATTCCCGTCGTAGAGAGTGTGTGCGGTAGTTTTAGTGAGGTCCTCTGAGTATCCGAATTGTTTTACACCCTCTTTTGCCTCAGTTATCTTTATACCATCATATGGAAAAGGCAGAGGCTACAGAGCGAAGAGAAGGGACACGGACGGAGGTCACTGCTGGAGGTAGGCTTTGCCTGTGAGGGGCTCCAAGCACAGGCTGCGTGGACACCCCCCGCAGCCCCGGCTTGTCTCCTCCTCTCCGGCTGCTCCACTCCGGTTCCCTCAGCTGGGTCCCTCTCTCCCTTGATGACAAGCAAGAGTCAAGGTTCCTCAGCCTTCTCTCTATGCCTCTGTGATACTGTGATTTATAGCAAGAAATATACATTGGTCTTTGTCCATGGTTCCCGGCGAGGGCTCCTAAAACCCTTACCATTTCCCATAAAGAGCCATAGAGGCAACTTTTGTTACAATCTTTGGTTTTCGTCCTCAGTTCCAGAAATGGCTTCAGAACAACAAAGCTGAAATAGATGTCTTCTGTTATTCATACAAACCTTTTTCAACCACACCTGAGTTTCTGTTCAAGAGGTGATTTTTCGAAAAAGCCCAGATAGGGGTGCCTGGGTGGCTCAGTGGGTTAAAGCCTCTGCCTTTGTCATGATCCCAGGGTCCTGGGATCGAGCCCCACATCGGGCTCTCTGCTCAGCGGGGAGCCTGCTTTCCCCTTTCTCTCTGCCTGCCTCTCTGCCTACTACGGATCTCTCTCTCTCTGTGAAATAAATAAAAAATCTTTTTAAAAAAACCCAGATAAGCTAAGGGTGGGGGCTGGCTGCTAGGGGAACCAGCCATGGGATCAGAGGGCTGGAACTTTCATATCCCCTGACCCCAGCCTCGGGGAGGGGAGATAGACCGGACATTGAGTTCCATCACCGAGAGCCAATGGTTTAACCAATTGTGCCTGTGTAAGGAAGCCTCCATTAAGCTCAAAAGGATGGGGTTCAGAAAATGTTGCACCCCAAGGTCCAAGGGGACAGAAGCTCTTGTGCTTGGGACTATTTTGGACCTCCCTCTAGGGGTGCCCTCATCCAGCCGGCCATTGGTGTCCTTCAACATCCTTTGTAATAAACCGGTGACCTAGCAAGGAGATTGTTCTCCTGAGTTCTGTGAGCCACTCCAGCAAATCAATTGAACCTAAAGAAGGGATCACGGAATCTCCGGTTTACAGCCGGTCGGTCAGAGCAAGGTGACAACTACATGGTCACCGGGGTCTGAAGTGGAGAGCGCCGTCTCATGGGACCGAGCCCTTAACCTGTGGGACGTGAAGGTGGACAGTGTCAGAACTGAGTCACACCTGAGGACACCCAGCTGGTGTTACAGAACCGCCTGGTGTGGGGAAAAACCCCTATCCGTACAGAAGTGTCGGAAGTGAAATGGCAGAGGCAGACTGGATATAGACGAGGTTTTCCTTAGGGCTTCTCTCAGGACCCGGGACCGAGGTGATCTCCATTCTCATGGCTTTAAAGACCGCCTCTGCCTGCCCTGTTGGATACAGTAGCTACAACTGACATGTGGCTACTTAAATCAAAAGTAATTAATGGGGCGCCTGGGTGGCTCAGTGGGTTAAAGCCTCTGTCTTCAGCTCAGGTCATGATCCCGGGGTCCTGGGATCAAGCCCCGCATCAGGCTCTCAGCTCATCAGGGAGCCTGCTTCCTCCTCAATCTCTGCCTGTCTCTCTGCCTACTTGTGATCTCTCTCTCTGTCAAATAAATAAATAAAAATTTAAAAAAAGTAATTAAGATTACACATTCAACTTTCCAGTCATTGAAAGCCACATTCATTAACAGTCCAACAAACTAGTAGCTACCATATTGGGGAGCGCAAATGGAGCACTTTTCCATCATTTTGCTTCCCTTAGGCAGCAATTACCTACGCCCTGATGACTCCTGAATTTGCCTCCAGCTCTGATCTCTGGTCTGAACTCCGCATTTGTCATCCAATGGCCTGCCTGACCTTGCAAACTGCATTCTTCAGGAACATCTCCACTTAACATAATTAAAAACAGAACCGTTCTGTTTTGTTTTCCAAATGTTTAATGCTCTTGTGTGGCCTGCTTCGTGGACTACCAACAAAGCACCACACAAAAATTTTAGGTCTTGAGATTTTTATATGCTCTGGGATGGTTAATTCTATGTATTGGCGTGGCTAGGTCATGGTGCCAGATGTTTGGCCAAATATTATTCTAGATGTTTCCATAAAGGTATTTTTTTTTAAAAGATCTTATTTATTTATTTGACAGAGACCACAAGTAGGCAGAGAAGCTGGCAGAGAGAGAGAGAGAGAGAGAGAGCGAAAGGAAGCAGGCTCCCTGCTGAGCAGAGAGCCCGATGCGGGGCTCCATCCCAGGACCTTGGGATCATGACCTAAGCCGAAGGCAGAGGCTTTAACCCACTGAGCCACCCAGGTGCCCCTCCATGAAGGTATTTTTAAGATGAGATTAATACTTAAATTGGTAGACTGGGTGAAGCACATCATGGGCCATAGTGTGGGTGGGCCTCACCCCATCAGTTGAAGGCAAAAATAGAAAAAGTCTGATCTCCTTCGAAGAGGGAATTCTGCCAGCAAACTGCCTTCAGATCTAAACTGTGGCACTCAATTTTCTTACACACACACACACACACACACCCTATTACTTCTGTTTCTCTGGAGAACCCTGGCAAACACTGCAGAAAATTAAATCCCTCTTATTATCACCATCAGTGTCATGACCATGCCTTGAACTTTATTTAAATCCCGGTGTGGGATTATCAAAACAGAACCTTCTAGCATCTCTATTCCTTCCCCATCTTGGAAAATGACCTGTAGGGCTAGCCACACCTCTCTTTCCTCTTGTCCTCCCCCACAACTAACTAGTTCCTAAGTCCAGCTGATTCTACGTCTTAAGACCTATTCTGAATCTTTCTCCATCTTTCTATCCAGGATGTTACCGCCTCTGCTGCAGCTAATGGCTGGCGTCAGGGACGCTGAGCCCTTACGCTGACATCCGGCCTCACTCATTTATGTTCTCTTTCCAGCTCTTTTTTTCACTTAACAGCCAAAGAGATCTTCCAAAAACACAAACTGTGTGTCTCTACCATTTAGAACCCTTCAGTGACTTCCCACTGAGGTTAGAGCAAGAGGAAGATTTCTTCCCAGAGTCACCTGTGGAAGCCCTGCAGGGTCTGGCCCTGGCTGGTCCCCAGAACCATCACAAGCCTCTCTTCCACACTCACTGCACTCCGGCAATGGGCCTTCTTCCAAGTCCCCAACCCCAAGTGTTTTCTTTGTCAGGCTGCTCCCTTCCTCTGGAAGGTTCCCCCTAGCTCTTTCTATTACTAGCTCCTTATTTGTTCTGAAGAGCATTGCCTCTCAGAGAGGCCTTCTCAGCCTTCCTGATCTAAATCAGGAAACCTGTTCACTCCCACAGCATGAAGTTTCTCTTATAGCTCTTCTGCAATTTATTTATTTATTTATAACATTACCTGTTACAGGTTTACTCACTTGTGGACCTGTGTCTCTACTTTAGAGAGCAAAGAACAGGTCCACATGGTTCATTGTTATCTTTGTTACTGTGTACGATGTTTGGCAAGAAATATTTGTGGAGAGAATGAGCAGGGCCCAGAGCAGCATTTCCCAAAGTACACTCTCTGGGATATGATTTTGTAGGATGTTCTAGGTCACGGTTTGGCAAATTATCAGCCGGTGGACCAAATCTGGCCCTCAGCCTGTTTTTGTAAATAAAGTTTTATTGGAACACAGCATGCCCATTCATTTTCTCTGGGGTCACTTGGGCGCTACCATGGTAGATGAGTAGCTGTGACGAAGACCTTGGACCCACGAAGTCCACCATTTGGCCCTTAACAGGAAAATTTGTTGACTCTTGTTATAGGTAATTGTATTAAAAAATTCTATGGATCTGATAAATGTAGGGTTAAACAGAGTCACATAGGTTTCTTTCAGTGGGACTTCTTGAAGTCATTACCTTGCTAATGAGTGTCATGAATCTCTGAGAATGTGATGTAATATACAGTTTCCCAAGCTTATCTGAGCAGCTAGATCCTTTTGGTGGTGCTTCCGGTTCTTCAGAAAAGACTTCGAAAATGCTGGCCAAGGTCTTAAAACCACGAAGGTGAAATTTCATCAGGGCTTTCTCTCAAAAAAATGAGTGATAGGAACTTCTCAGCAGTCACAGTAAGCTGGTCTTCATCCCATTTTTCCAGGCCATGAGGGAAACTGGGAGGTATTTACTGAGGGTAGGATCCTACAACCTCATCATTCACTCAAGATTTCTCTCTGCCTGGTATCAATATCCTAGTTTCCACGTGGAGTCTATGAACACCACCCCATTGGGAAGTATGGTATTATAGGAATTCCCCTCACATGTTCTAGAGGATAACCAGGGGTGACTGGGCAGGTGACTTACTTTCTCCTGACTGTTTAACTCCTGATACGGGATGTGGGCAGGCAGGTAGGTATGGAGGAGAGCACAGAAGGCCAAACCATCGCTCCAGCTGCTGCTGAAATTGGTGATATCGATGTTCTGTGGGGGGGAGGAAAAGCAGCATTAATCTCCAAACTGTGCAAAGGCAGAGAGGACAAAGGAGACTATGAATAAGGGGGTATCCACCTCTTGGTATGCAGGAAGGCCGGATAAGAAACTACGCAAGACTTCAGGAAGTCCATTTAATTCTGGTACCAGCAATGGCCTGGTGTTGCCCAAATCCACTCACAGAATTGTGTGAAGAAAAGCCTTCAGGGCTCCAAACCCTGGGAATTTCTGCCTACCCAGTGGTACATTAAAAGCTCGGAGATATCTTATTCTCAAATCTACCCACTCGATCAGCTTTCCATGTCCCAGCACTGCCCAGATTTATCTGGTCAAGGAAGAATCCTCACCATGGTCGTCACGACGTATGACCCCAATGAACAACAGGTAGACCAAGACAAAACAAGATCTTAAACACCTAGATGGCTAGTCTCATGGCTTATTCCTGCTAATACCCTCTTCTCCCACAACTTGAAGGGCTTCTCAGGGAGAAAGAAACCCCCCCATACTCAACAGTGTCCTTGCTAGCACGTCAAATACCCAAGGTTTATGCTAGCACGTCAAATACCCAAGGTTTATGAGGCCTTCCAAGGGAACATGGGGTCCTCCTCTGGATTCGGTGGGAACCCCAGCAGATGCTTGGTACAGAGTGATGAGGAAAACAGAGGCAGGCAGCCCACAGAGACAACAAAGTGGGCAGAGGTGAGTGGACGGTGAAGACGTGGCTCTTTCTGATCGTGTGGACGCGACTTCCCCCTCCCTCTGCCCAAACCACATGCCCATCAGCAGCAGCTCAACCTGACTATCTGGAAAGTGATGTAGGATGTCTCCCCCAGAAGCGATGGCACTTGACTAGGGGAGGAGGGGTGAAGAGGAACATGACATGAAGGTAAATTGGAATAGGGGGAGGGAGACTCCTTATGTGTGTGTAAAAAGCTTTGAAGAACACAGGGCGGTGGAAATGTGTAATAAAATATGGTACAGTTCTCCCATGCGCGTTCCTGAGTGGTTTGGAAGCAAATGGCCCACCAACTCATTTGAGCATTTTATCTAGATTTTCCCTGTGTTAGTCTAAGCTAGCTTGGCCACTAGCGATGACGTAGGTTCAAATGGCTCATTTTATAGGAAAGACACGGAGGCTGGAGGCGGTGGCATCCACGCATCACACACACCGGGTTTACCTGGATGACAGACACTCTGGCAGGCCAAGTTCCCACCCTGTGGCCCTTTCTATCAAACCTCTCCTGGCTTCTAGCCAGAGTCCAGGATGACCCAGGGGGACCCCAGAACATTCTCCCACAAAGTGCCGCCGTTTCAGGGAAGTCAGATTCTCCAGCCTGTTTGCACTTACATTTACCCGGGGGAAGCTATCTGGCCGAGGGCAACACACAATCATAATAATGCCTCTTCGTTCCGGTTTTCATGACTCAAGCACAACCGGATTTTAAGAGCTGCTAAGCAGCCATGTTACATAAAAGTCTGAGAATGCCCCGTCTCCATTTTCAGGCTGAATGTGCACCAGCCCGGCCTCCTGGTAAGCTGATCATTTGCATTCTTGGCTTCAGACAGTCTCTCTGGAGACTCTGGAGCTACCCGATGGGGTCTGGATGCTGCTTTGGAAATGGGAAACACTGTAATTTTATATTTTCTGAAGAGGTCTGCATGTTAATAAAGAAGAGGAAAGACATGTGGTGGGAGGGGTGGCACATCCTGTCCAGTTCACTCGAAGTCTCAGGCACTAGAACCAGATGCTCATTGGGCCCTGGGGAGTGGGGGCAAGGAGCCAGGGTGGGCCAGCCTTTGGAAAACCAGGCCTCCCAGTGCCCGTCGACACAGAGTTCCCTTCTTTACTTTGGCACGCAGAGGTCATCTGAGACCCTGTCTCCAAGCCCACCTCTCATGGTGCCTGTGACCTGGCGGAAGGGAAGTTCTTTCCAGGGACCGCTTGCTGATGGTTATTGCTCACGCTCGGTACTGGGGCATCAGTGAAAATGGGACAGGCATGTGCGACACCCAGAAGTGTTCGCTCCAAGAGGCAACGTTGACATACATCCCATTTCATCGTCAAAAGAAACTGAGGCCATAAGAAGTGGTGTTTTTGTCAGAAAGGCCACATTTTAAGTAGAAAGCCAAACATCCAATGAGTGACCAAGATGCAAGTCCCTGAGATATGAGGGCTCACAACGTGCTTGGTGCTGGGCATCTCCTCGTTTCATGCTCAGAACGACAATACCTGGTAAGTAGCGCTGTACCCACTTCACAGATGAGGAAGCCGAAGCAGAAAGAAATATTGCTGGGACCAGAGTCAGGGGCAAATCGCAGGTCTGCCCGAGAGCAAAGCACGTCATGTTTGCTGTCCTTCCTTCCTCCTTTTTTCTTTCTTCCTCCTCTTCTGCCTATCGTCTGTCACAAATTTACTTCACATCTAAAGCTTTTAAGGTTTGAGAAATCTTTCATTTCCTAAAACGTGAGAACATTTTACACGTTTATCTCTTGTATCATATTTTTCTTTATGATACAGAATGTCATTTTCCTTCATCTGTATGATCTTCAGAAGCATTCTGAGAGGCCGGAGAAACCCAATGTGGGTGACGAGGCCACCCGTCTCACAAAACCATGAAAGTGCCCGGTATTTCACTGTTACTTAGGAGAAGGTCTGATTTTAAAGATTTTATTTATTTATTTGAGATGTGCTCGCTTCAGCAGCACATATATTTATTTATTTGAGAGACTGAGAATAAGAGAGCACAGAGGGAGGAGAGGGAAAAGCAGACTCCCCATTGAGCAGGGTGCACGATGAGGGGCTCAATCCCAGGACCTAGAGATCATGACCTGAGCCGAAGGCAGATGCTTAACTGAATGAGCCACCCAGGTGCCCCGCAGGAGCAGTTTTTGACCTTTAAGTATAAATGAGCAACAGGTAGAAACTATAAAGTCTAGTTGAAAAAAATTAGTCTAAATGACTCACAACATCAGGAGAGCTCAGAGAACCCGGATGCTTCTGGACAGATGGCAGCTTGTGGGCCTTTCCAGAAACATGAAGCCCGCTATACAGCAGACCCTGGTACTTCAGCAGCAAGACCACACCACACCCAACACTAAATAAGAAAGTGCCCTATTTAAAAAAAAAATGGAATTATGGAAATTCCAAATCTAGGCGGGTTATCAAGTCCAACATCCGGGTGAGGAAATGCTTCTCTTTCCTGTAACCCACAGGCGCCATGTTTAAGACTGAGTTGTTCTGACATTGGAAGAGATGGAAGACAACCAGCGGTGATCAGTGATCTGCAGCACTGTATTCATCCCAAGGCTATCAAGTAAAGACTCTACCCTTCTTAGGATAAAGTGGAACAGCTCAATTCTAGTTCCCTGAATGTCATTTGAAATCCTAATTCCATTGGAATGACAAGAGTATCAACAATTCCCAACTCAACGCAGCTGTTCCAACAACTGAAAACGTGCACACGTTTCTGATACCTCATGTAAGAGGATGTAAGCACTGTACAAACCTCAGGGGTGGCTTTGTTACTATCGTTATTATAAAGGTGGTTTGTTACCGCTCACTGAGGTATATTTTTGGGAGCTGTATGATGTATCTTAGTGAATGAGGAGTTAGCAGATGTTGGGGTGGGGAGCTACGCTTTGAGGCAGGGTATGCAGAAAATGGAGCCTAATTATACAAACACCCCCAAGAGATGTTAGTTAATATATTTGTTTTCCCAATTACCATTCAGCTGAATTCTGAGGGGTTCATCAAAAGAATAACTAAGAGCAAAAACAGAAAATGATCAACAAGGCATTCTACAAGCTGTATCATCAGTTATTTTCTTTGTTATCTATTCCTGAATAAAATTGAGTGGGATAATTGTTACCCTTAACTGGGAGTTAGGAATGGGCTGGGAGCAGGCAGGGGATTCTGGGGGTGCAGACAATACTGTGTTTCTAGACCAGGATGCTAACTGCACGGGTACTTTCATGTTGTGAAATTTCACAGAACGGTGCTTGCATGTTCTATCTCAGTAAGAAAGAGAGGAAGGGAGGGAAGATGAGAGGAAGGGAAGAAGGAAAGGAGAAAAGAAAGATGAACTGATCGTCTTAAGGGAATGAACTGTGGCTGTTAAAAAGACAGAGAACTTTCTGGATTTTATGTCCTGTAAGAGTTACTGAGGGGGAAAAAGCAGAGGAACAACCAAAAGAAACTTCTTGCTGATTATTTCCCCAAGGGAAATGGTAATTACTCGTTGCAAATTGTCTTTAACTTTCTCTGGGATATAAATACCTTAGCGATATTTCTGAGTGGAAAAGAATTCCAGGAAAGGAAGTCTCAGATATATACATATGTATGGTATATGGTATCAGATACACATAAATACATATACGGTTACATTCCAAGCACCTCCAACACACGTTAAGTTTCTACGAATGCTCAGAAGCAGATTTTGTAAGATACAGAATCTTGCCTTCAGTGCAGCAAAAGACATTTGAGAAAAGCAAACACACGGAAGGGTATTTACATGAGAAGCTAAACTAATTTCAGTGACTATCCAAACATATTCCCTTGAGTGGCTGAGAGTGCTGACAAATGAAGTTCTACAGGGGTGAATGCGGAGGTCGCACTCGTAAATAACACAGGGGGACAAAAGCAAAGCAAAACCCCAGCGAGCTACAGCACTAGCTTCCAAAAGGTTCATTTCACTTGCCTTTTGTTGCCTGGAGACACCAAGGCCTGCAGGGAAAAGCTGCAGAACGCAGGCTGGAATGGGTCCCATGCTCAACCTCACGGAGGCCACAGCTGGATTCTACAGCTGTCTGACCTCATTCCCACCACTTCATCTTTTCTGAGGATCTCTAGCTTCCTCCATTAGATTTCTGTGAATGGGTTGACTCTGTGTGCACTAAACTTAAAAGTCTAAAAAAAGTTAAAAAAGAAAAAAAAAACCCAAAGCTTCTGGGAAGAAGTCAGGAGACCGATGAGAAAATGTAGTCTGGTTGAG